ATTGTAAAGTGGCATTAAGTGCCGTAATGTGCACCTCTGCCCTACCCTTTCGGGGATAAAAGGCGTGATGTTATGTTCATATTTGTATTCGCCATTTCTCAGTGTGTCGCATGAATGTTTGTGATCTCTACAGATACGAACGGCCACCATGAGTACCATAAGCTGGTGTCGACCCTGTCTCCCGGCAAGGTCGATGTAGTGGTCAACTGTCCCGCTGGATACTACCTACTGCCCGAGTCTAAAGTCTGTTGTAAGTTGAAATAGAATATATTTATCATGGACTATACCATTCTGCCTTCATCCTTACTAATATTATAAATTGGAAAGTGAGTTTGTTTGTTTGTTCCGCTTTCACGCCGTAACTACTAAACTGATTGCTTTAAATGTTTGCAGACGTAAAGTTAGAAGTCCGGATTAAATAATAGGGTACTTTTTATCCCGGAAAAATTTGATGTTCCCGAGGGAAAATAAAAGTATTGGTATAGATGGCGCTGTGTGTATTAGTATATGTCACATAGGCTACTTTTTATCCTTCTGTGCGAGCGAAGCTGCGGGTAAAAGCTAGTCATTAAAAAAATAGAACCGAGAGAAGTGGAAAGAATTCTTTCTCTTCTACTCCAATGATATTATATCTTCTTCGGGGTTCTTCTAGAGGGGAGTGAATAGGTTTATTAAGCGTCGGCAAGGCGCATGTAATGCCCCAAGTGTTGCAAGCGTACATAGGCCACGGTAACCGTTTACCACCAGGTGGGCCGCTTTATTTACCACAGTCTTGGTGTTATACAAAAAAACTTCTGGTTTATTTCTTTCTGAGATTGGAGACGGTATTCATGTACCTGTCTCTGTCTCCTGTAAATCGTGGTGCACAAGGGTAGCAGTGTTTAGAAAATATCTACTGTATTGGTCAGACATTACGCACTTCATCTGAACTCTCTAAAATAGACTCAGAATTCTATGAATAATCACTATTCTTCTGCCCACAGCATCCTGCCCTCCAAACACGAGTTCGAAGCGAGGAGACAACACCTGCAGTAGCTGCCCCCGCGGCACGAGAGCCGAACCCGGAGCCTCCCAGTGTCAAACCATCAAAACACCCCCGCGAAGGTATGATGTACGTACTTTTATCTCATAACAAGCTGTGCTAGCGGCTTCGGTTGTGCCAATAGTCCAGCATTTTTCAAGAAATCAACGCATCAACAGCCTTAACTGCCTACTAATGACCAAAGGCCTCTTCTCACACGGAGAAATTAGTAATGATCGCCATGCTTGCTCAAAGCGGGTTAGCAATTTCAAACGATAATGATACGATACCTGGGGAAAGAGTAGGGACGACATCTGTCCGTACCGTAGCATAGGTCTGCAGTTTAACAAGTTCTGAATAGATACCGAAAAAATCGCTCCACTTCTGAAGATGACTTGGAATTGTATATTTTGCAGTGGTGGTGGTATCCTCCTTGCGGGTACTTGGTGGCTTGTTGTAGCGTCGTGTTCGGTTGCTCCATGTGTATCATGCTGTCCGTGATCGTCCACATCGTCTCCCGAGACATGGACCCCGTGGAGGTCGAGTCCAGCGACGGCGGGCGGGCACGTACACGTGAGTTGGTTTTGAGGACTATATATTGGTATATTGGCGGCTGGCGGGTTGTTTTCGAGGTTGTCACTGTTCTACGATCAAATGACAAACTGAACTTAATCGACTGCCTCGTTGGCCGAATGGTCGCAAGTGCGACTGCCGGGCAAGGGATCTCGGGTTCGATTCCCGGGTCGGGCACTGGTTTTTAAAAATTGTCAGTGGTAGCACGGAGTCTGGAATAGTGCCCGGTATGTGGCAATAGGCTCACCCCCTATTACATGGGACTCATAACATAAATAGTGAAAAGTGAGTGTTACATTGTACAGTGGCATAATTTGCACCTCTGCCTACCCCTTCAGGGATAAAAGGCGTGATGTTATGTTATGTTATGACTTAATCGAAAGTCTCTGAGTGGATCATGGTTTTTATCAGTATTTAAATTTAAATAGAGCTAAATTTCTAAGCTAATCGTCATTCCTACCACTGCTCTTGTTTCTTCAGTCTGCCATGATCCTTTTTTTTTCTATTCATGTAGGACTAGTGGACTACCTATATGATATCATTTTTCTCCATCATTTATACCTCACATCAGCAGTATGTATCAACTCCATGTTCTATCATATGCTGCATATTATATCAAAGATGGGTTAACTCTTTCAGTCTTTGTGGTCATTGTAGCTTGTAAATTATGTCACACGTTAAGGGGTAGGAGGGGGTCGACGAAGTGTGACATTGTGTGACAAGGGGGAGGGAGGGATCCTAAACTTTGTGATGTCACATTTCAAAAACTATTTTAAAACACGACATTTAATTGTATTAATGTTTTTTATTTTGTTTGATTTGGTATTAATAATTTTTTATAGAATTTTAAATAGAAATAAAACTATTTTCTTCATAGGATTTCGAAACCGCTGTTTTCATTCAATAATTTTTATACATACGTAATTCTGCAAAATGTGACGTCACCCTAGGGGGGGCGGTCTCACAAAAGTGACTAGCTGTGATAAGAACCCCGTCCGTGTCCTTGGAGGGGCAAAATATCATGAAATTCTTGTGACGTAATTTATGGATGACCACTAATCACCTTTTCTTAGAAATTCAATTTTTGAAGTATTCTTCAAATATGTTTGCTTTGGTTTTTAATCACCTCAGTAGTATAATTAAATAAAATATATTCGTAACCAGTTAGAAGTGTGACTGAAAAAGTTAACCCATTTTCTGCTTTAACCTCTTTTTATACTCACTCATGGCGCCACCTTCTATGATCTTCAAATATACTTCTTTAGCATCCATCACTGTTACACAGCCAATGAAAAGCGTTCCGCACGTGGCGGGATTGTCTATTTGTTTAATTCGACAGATTTATTCGTCATGAATACATTGCAGCGAAGACGGCGACCAGCGTCATGGCTGCGTACGTGCACAGCCACACGCGACCGCTGTCTCCCTCGCGCGTCATACTCCCTCGCTTCTTCAGACCTTCCCTGACCTCTTCCCGAGCCACCGGTGAGTCTGTTCGTATGTAGGTATAAGATTGTTGGACTGAGCTGATAATATCTGTAGTAGGTTAAAAAAATACTGCCGACTGCCGGGCAAGGGATCTCGGGTTCGATTCCCGGGTCGGGCAAAGTGTTATTGGGTTTTTAAAATAAAAAACTTTCCAGTAGTAACACGGAATCCGGAAATGTGCCCGGTATATGTCAATAGGCTCACCCCCTATTACATGGGACTCTTAACATAATTAAATAGTGAAAAGTGGGTGTTACTTCTGTGTGCACATCTGCCTACCCCTTCGGGGATAAAAGGCGTGATATTATGTTATGTAGGTTAAAAAACTGTTCTTCTCATCAAATAGTATTGAAATTGTCCAGTCAACAGTATACAGTAACAGTAACTATGTTGTTAAATGTTCGAGGTACGTTTTGAAACCGATTTCCTCCATCCCCAGATTCACAAGAAACGAAGTTCGAACTATGGAAAGAAAGAAACATTCCACCGCCGTTGCCGCCAATCGATTTTGACATTTGAAACTGCCGCCATTTTGTACGGTCAAGATGACAGAGACAGTTGTAAACGTCAAACTTAGCAATTGAGCAATTGTGACTTGAAATAATAATTTTAGAGTTAGGTAAATTGATTGATTTATCAATCTAAAATAGATGATGACGCAATTTTCCCAAAAATATGATTCGATGTTTGTATTTTCTACAATCAATTTGTCGGCGAATTTCGTGTTTTAATCTCACTTGGACGTGTACAGATGAGTCAGCACTTCGGAACCCTTCAACTGTGAAATTGCTTTCATTTGGTTTTTGACTCTGTTTCAAAAGACTTTGAGTTGAAAATCTGTAAAGAAATTGAGCAGATTGTAGCGTGATTTGCTGTCTATACTTACGTTAAGATTTAAAACTATACATTGAAGATTCGTTGTACTGATTGGTTGCTATGAAGTATTAACATTTATATAAACGTTTTTGCTCTTAAGTCTTGAAAACCATGTGGTCAATGTAAGTAGCTTTTCCGATGACTTTTCGCCATACCGCACTTGATAATTTGCCGAAACACAATATTTATTATACCTGTGTACAAGCCCTTTTGTATTTAAGTGTATTTTAATACTTTTAGATATAGTATTTTAAGGAAGCGCTATAGTTATGTTATATTTTATAAGTATTCTTTTGTCGTCCGCACTGATGCTTTTGGTAAGTTGTAATAAAGTTCAGTGGTGTTACCAGGCGTTTTATTTATTTTACCTTAATCCAGATTGGTTCCCCTACTATCATACACGTGAGCCTTTGAGCGAGAACACAACAAAGTTACATTGAAATTTGAAACACCACCTAGCCAAAACGTCACTTTAACTGAACAGCTTCTTATTTTATTTGATTTTTAAACATACACGTTCACATACACATGACACCCAGACCCGGAACAACAATCTTTGGATCACACAAAGAGTTGTTCCGTGCGGGAATCGAACCCGCGATACGTTTTACGCGGCAGCCAGTTGCCCAGCCACCTCATCAGCTCAAAGTAATTAGCTCCTACTAATCAGCACCTACTCAACAGCACCAAATAATCATTTTCTTTCTTTCTAATTGATGAAGATGTTATTGATGCAGTAGATGTGATTGGTAACGGAGATGTGATTGATAAAGGATATTTGATGCCCCGAGAGTCCGAGACGCACCGGGCTTCATAGATTCAGTTTTCATGTTAGTATCTTATATCTACTAGATTCGGGCCTACAGGACTTAGGGCTCGTGCAACAAAAATGTGCGAGCTCCCTCTACGCATCGCAAGAACTTGTGAATTGATTCGCATCGCGCATCAAAATCTTGTCTTCCCAAATTCTTCGTTACTTTTTCCTATATCTCCTAAGCAATAACAGAAGTGTGCACTTCTTTTTACGATCCATGTCACGACCTAGTTTTCTATTTAAAATACGTTTAGTACGGTTGACGGTCGTCGAAGGAATGGTCACCCTGGGAGACACCTTGTTCCACGAAATCGCATCGTAATTTTTTACGTTGCGAATTCGCATCGTAACGCATCACAGTTTTGTCTACGAGCCCTTACAATGGTTCTGAAAAACCAGTTTTGGCAACTGCATCAGGTACCTGGCAACCAATATGACCTATAAACGATGGACTATCACTGGCTCCGTGCCACTCGTCCAACGTGTGTAGCTTAAAGATACTCCACACAAAAGCCTCTGCCTGAAATTTTGCGGGTAGCGGGGCGGCGCGCACCGCTTGATTGGACTGCACCGCTCGTTGTCCACTCCCGCGCCGCTGTTTTTGAGAACCAGTCCATTTGACACATAACATAACATAACATCACGCCTTTTTATCCCCGAAGGGGTAGGCAGAAGTGCACATTACGGCACTTAATGCCACTATACAATGTAACACCCACTTTTCACTATTTATGTTACGAGTCCCATGTAAAAGGGGGTGAGCCTATTGCCGGGCACATTTCCAGACTTCGTGCTACTACTGAGATTTTTAAAAACCCAGTAATACTCAGTCCATTTGATTTTACACATAAGATCCTGCCGCTCCTTCGCTGCCGCCGCCGCCACACCGCTGCCCGCAAAAGCAAAGGCACAGGCCTAATGAACGGCCAAGCCTGGCCGGGCTTGGCGCTATTGTTTGGGTTTGGGCCAACGAGTGAAGCCGGCGTCGCTTTGAATAAAACGGCGAAATAACATCAAAAATACATTTTATTTACAAGTCTTCTCATCTTTCTTAACTTCCTTCTTTTTGAACCTATCTTTAACATCCTTCCAGAGTTTGTTCTTGTTTAGATGTTCAAATATGGCTAGGGAGATCATGTCCACCCCTCTTTCGAAGAAAAACGTGCACAGTGTCGCCACAAGAAAATAAGTCGACGTTTTCTTGAACAAAGCACGATTTACAGGAGCCCAAATCGCCATTCCTAATTATTGTTATATTCGTTTCGTTTGTTATATAAAATAATAAAGCTTTCAATGCAGTTCTGACAGTTTTGTTTAATATCAACTGTCATTATAAAGGATTTGACCGAAAAGGATAGACCACGAAGTATTTTCGCAGCTTATCGATACTATCTCCAGATATTATTAAATATTTACCTACATAAATATTTACAATTTATAAAATTAACTCCAACTTACCTATTAAATAAGACGAAAGTAAAAAAAGGAAACAACAATACTAAGGGTATTGTATTTAGGCGTCAAAGTACTCGTCCGCATCACTATCACAGGGGAACGTTCCCAGAAGACTGGCAGCATTGCCACGTTGAATGGCAATGCTTATTTTCTGTCCGAAGAAATAGCTAGCCCTTAAGTTGAATTAAATATGTATGTACCTTAAAATAACAAACTCTGTGGAAACTGATCTAGTTTTTACTTGAATTGTAAGTAATAGCTGTAACTCTTTCGACTTAAGTTATAAAACTATCAAAAAAAAATATATGCTCACGACTCTAGTCTAGAACATAACAAGTAGCATAGGTTTTTTTTTCGTATCCCTTGCTTTGTGTCTCGAACATTTCCACTACTTTCGAGAGAATTAGAGAAACACTAATAAACTCGTACATCACAGTCTAATCATTAAAAAATAGGAGTCCAAAGTTATTCTACCAGAATACTTTCAAGTCTCGAGTGTGTAGGTTCCTTATGGGCAGGCGGGCACCATCGTAGTGTCGCATCACTCACATCGTCGCTTTCCATCCAAATTCCAAATAATTATGTTTGTGTTCAGTACCTTAGTACGAGTTTTTTTTACCTTAAAACTTTTCTTCTTAAATTGATAAATCAATTCGTACTAAGGCCTCAGGGCACTGTTTCGGTTACCACGATACAGCAGTGCATCCGAGCATATTGGCTGACGCTAGCGCAGATGACTTCTACGCGAGTTCGTGGTGGCCGGAATAGCGTTCTACGGATGATAGGCGACAGAAATGATACTGTTCTGCTCAGTAGGTTCACTGAACTCCATGTGTTACAGTCGACCGACCGAGACCGATGAGCCTAGAGAGCAGACTCCCCCACTCCCATTTTTCTTATGGCATAAGCCGGTAATCGAGCAGACGGATCACCTGATGGTGAGCAATCGGCGTTGCCCATGAAAACCTGGAACACCGGCCGGCCTTTTAGAATTAAGGATTGGGGAAATGGGGGTGGGTAACTGGGCCTCCGATAACCTCACTCACACAACGCAAGCGTTGGATTACAACCATATACACATAAAAATACAGTCGAATAAAGACTACTCTTTTTTTTTAAAACAGAGTCATGTAAATAAAACACAAATATAGTGGAGATATGTATATTTTTAATACAAAATCTAACATAAGTCCCGTACAAATTACCTCTAAGTATTTTATAAAATCTAAATACAGTTATAGTCTTACGAATAACAATTCAATTCGTGATTTTCGCGTTCAATTATATTATAAATGATATTGATGTCTGAATCCTTAATCCATTGTACAATCAAAGGTCAAAAGTCCACTGCCACCGTGAGTGATATTGACACACGGCAATGCTTTTATATTAATGTGCATAGAAACGCGTGCGTACGCATAAACACACGCACGCGTACGCACACGGATACAAATATGTGTGTGTGTGTGTGTGTATAAGCGCTGCAGCGCTACCGATAGTAGTCTTACAGTGGTAGTGGACTTTTGACATATGACCGTACATGTAAGGTACTGCCTTATTAAAAGAATTATTTAATTATTTCAGCTTCTAAAGATAATACATACATAAAATCAAGCCCTTTATCCCCGAAGTGGCAGGCAGGGCATATTACGGCACTTAAAGCCACGACTGCCACTTAATGGCGACGTAAGCGATGATGCGGTCTTCGATGGAGCACGTCGTCCCATAAGCAACCTATTCACTCGAACCTTGGAGACACCTAGGTTATAGGTTATAGGCAGGATGCACATTACGGCACTAAATGCCACTGTACAATGTAACACCCACTTTTCACTATTTATGTTATGAGTCCCAAGTAATAGGAGGTGAACCTATTGCCCTTTTTAACCCTTAATTAATAAAGTAGTACCTTACAAAATTATGAAAAAAGGGGGAAAAAATGTGTATCCTATATGTTTATATGTTATAAGCCATATTACACACTATAGCACTACACTGTCGTGCAATAATATCAGGCCAATCTTCTATAGGAATGTCTCAGTTCGGTTTGTAATAATTTTCTTAACAAATGAGCTGATATTTTTGCACGGCAATGTATTAATTAGATGGCAGATATCTTTATGGAGGGTAAAAATAAGAAATCAAAGTTTACGTTAAAAAAAAAGTATACGTAGAAAGGCGACCCAAATAATAAATAGACAATTTCAAAAATATAATGAATAGAAAAAAATATTAAGTTATACAGATGGGGGTTACAATTTTTGCTCAACAGATGGCACTGATAGACACTTTTTTAAGGGGGGAAAATCATCGAATGAGTGAGAAGTCTGACACTCCCTCCCGCCTCACCCAGGCGGTCTCCCGCCAGTGTCACTCTTACTGACTGAAAACCACCCCATTCCTTCTCCTGCACTTCGAGCCTGAGCCCCGGTAAGCCGTTCGGTTCTCCGCGACTCCGAGCTGATAGACACTTGGAAACATAACTATCAAGATTTTAACATAAAAACCGCGAGTTACTCACGTTAATATACTGAGAAAAGGTCTACTAGTGTTCAGTCACAGAGGGACACTTACTCATGGCTGCGCGACTTTATAGGGTAGTTGCCAGACTATGAAAATTAAATATCCAATTAGTCTGTAAGTTAGGTAATAAAAAAATATTAGACACGTGTTTTGTATTTTCTCGTATAAAGTTACAATACTTAGATAAAATGGAGTTAAGTTTAGGAGTGGGAGGTTGCACTACCTACGTACTACAAAATGTAGCACGTTGTGACGTCACACGAGATTTCAAATCAATATATCGTCGAAAGTATTGAATTTTGTGAGAAAATTAGAAATACGTGTCTAATGTTTTAAAATAATGTACCAGACGGACATTAAAATAAAATTTAGGAAACTACACTATTACAGCACACTAATTGACTTGAAATTGTTGACAGCTACCCGCCTAGTGATTGCATAAACTGTCTGATTACTAGATAGCGCCATCTGTTGACCAAAATACGGCAGCCCCCATGAAATACCCATATTATTATATAGTTGATAAGCAATAAGATTGTGCTCCTTACCTCTACACTCCATAAAAACATCGAAAATATGCCTTAATTTAAATGTTATTGGTACACGAAAAGCGAGTAAAGACATAGGATAAAACCATATCATTAAAATGAAATAAAAACGCCTTTAACATCAGTATATTTTGGTTAACTATATTTTTAAATTATTTTTATTACGATTATGTGTAATGGCGTGCATAAAAACGGGGCAAGAAACAGTTTTTATCACAGAATCGAACTTTCAGTTTCATTTTCAAAATGGTACAACACTTTACTAATTACATGACTTCTTGTTCTCGTTGTACATACACTTATATCACAATAGGTACGGTCAGCATCAAAAGTTGATGAACACATTATCTGATACATAATTTCTTCTTATTGACATCTTAATTTTATGACATTTCTAATTTATTTTCTGACTTTACCTGTTTTAATTTATTTGAATTGTTTCCTATAATAATAATACTATCCCTAAAACACTCCACACGAGTCTAAAGACCCTTAATTCACACTCTTACAGAAAGCAGTCATACTCAATACATGCAGAATAGTTAGGAAGTTTTTATCTATAGATTAATTTATCACATATTATTTCATCCCCAAAGTTGCTTTGGCCAAAATCCCGCAACTAGTAGTTCCCCAGAAATGGGTGAGGTTTGAGCCGTAAACATACTAATTTCAATATAATTGTTCTTTAATTAGACATAAATTAATACTGTTAATACAATTTTATATTTCTACACCGGTAACGGTAGTATGTGTGGAACTTTGTTAATTTTAAGACCTGTGTGCACCATGTACTGAGATATAAATGGCTTTCATTCATTCATTCACATTTACATTAACAAAATCGCTGAACGCCGTTTTATCTAAATCAGTTAAACTGTCAAACACCAAGCGGTCACCGGTGACCGCAACCTATTGTTCTATAATTGTGTCTACAAAACCGGTACTCGACGAGTCAACATGACAAGCGTCAGAAACAAATAAGTATCTTGTGTTGCATTTATGGTGTTTGCCATGTTCGGCTATTTACGTATATTACGGTGTAGTAATTTTGAAAATCGAAATCTGTTCACCAACTGTTGATGCTGATTGTACGTTTAGTTTCAAAAAATTTAATGTTCGAAAAATTACGTAGCATAATTAAAAACGCATGCACATCGTTGTCTAACACGAGAATTGAACCAGACTTGGGCAGTCGCACTTCCGATCACACGGTCAGTTAAAAGAAAAGAAAATTACTCATCAAAATAATTACACTAGCAAAACAATATAGCTCTAAAGATAGTTAACATAGCGATAAATTTCCTCTAGCAGATCAGCAGCTACTAGCCAAATGTCTTTTATCGCTCGTCTACATGTAGAATAGAAAACCAAATTATATGGGATTGACGTAAATTTTGACACTTGTCAGTGTCATCCCCATACATTTAGTTTTCTACTCTCTCTGTAGATAAGCGCTAAAGTGGCGTTTGGCTAAAGGCACTGTGTACATATGAACCCGTTTAAAAGCACGCCATTGTACCCAACACCACGTAATAAAATAATAAGTACAAAAGTCTTTCACTTGCCACAATAAAATCACTTTCCAATTTACCTATGTGTGAGCGATCACTCAAAACGATCCAAAATTAAAAAAGCAATCACACAACTTCCAATTACCCAAACAGTTGCCAATGACTTCCGACTCCCGAAAAGTTCCCTTGCAATTGCTATTTTAATTCAACTGTTTCCAATTAATAAGTTGCCACCGACTTCCAATCACAAGTTGCCAATAACTTTCAATTTAAAAAGCTACATAAATGGACTTCCATCCGCTAATCCAACTTACACAATAGTCAACGACTTCCAACAACACGTTGCCGCTGACTTCTAACCTTAAAACAGTAAAGCCAACGACTTCTTGATTATTTATCCACTCACACATGGTTCTCCTGTCAGACCCAGCAAAATAGTGCAGACAACATCCTGACAACCGCTCTTGAAGAGCGGCTCACTAATCACTGAGCTTCAGCTTCGATTTCTGGTTCAGGCAGAAGCTCAGGCACTTCGTCATCTCTTACCCTATTCGCGTCCAATTCTATGACTGGGTCGGCTGTAGCTTCAGCCAGGTTAGTCACTGACTTCGACTTGAAACATTGGAAGTCTACATGGCGTGATTTGGCTTCTTCTTTCTCCCAAGACATGTGTATGAATGGGCGTTGGACGTAGTTGTAGATGACTTCCGCGCGCCCACCAGGTCGCTTGCGCACTTTTTCCTTGTATGTTGGGTAGCCTTCGACTCCTAGGCGGATTTTCTTGAGGCCGCGCTCTTTCATCACTTGTTTTGCTACGTCCCTGGAAGGGGAAATGGGTTTTTAAAATTAGGCATTATAATAGGGTACATGTCTAATTTTTATTTTAATGTCCGTCTGGTAGATTATTTTAATATTTTTTCATTACCTAATTGACGGACTAATTAGATTTTTAATTTTCATACTCTGTCATCATCCCTATTGAAGGTTTTTGACAATATTTTTAATTGAATCTCGCGGCTAGAAACTTATAGACAAAAATAAAATGTAATTCAAAACAGCTAGCTATTTATATTTTTGCAAATGGGCAATAGATTCACACAAATGTCTCACAAACAAACACAATTGTCAAACTTTCTTTACATTATTAATTTTTGTAAATACACCGGTTTAAATTTATTAAAAAAATGAATGCTACCACAGAAACTCACCTATTCTCAATATACTTGAAGAACCTGTACAGCGGAGTGGACAGCACCGTCTGCGAGTACTCGTCCCCCATCTGCGGAGGATACTGCTCGTCCCACTCCACCGAGTCATCGTCCAGCAGGACCACCACGTGGCACTCCCTGTCCCCTCTCTGCGCTGACTCCACCATGAGGGGGAGGATCAATCTCTCGAGGAAGGATTCGAACTGGCGACGAGCACCCTCGTTTGATAGCTCGTGGAGGAGCCCTCGAAGGTTCTGGAAGGTACAAGGTAAATTGGTATCAGAAGAAAAAGAAAGAAGAGCTGGTTAATCATGTTTTTTTTTAATCTTTATTTAATAAGAAGGGCTTTTTTCCTAAGAGGAAAATGTCAGCCCTATTACATAACATCACGCCTTTTATCCCCGAAGGGGTAGGCAGAGGTGCACATTACGGCACTTAATGCCACTGTACAATGTAACACTCACTTTTCACTATTTACGTTATGAGTCCCATGTAATAGGGGGTGAGCCTATTGCTATATTATACCGGGCACATTTCCAGACTCCGTGCTACTACTGAGATTTTTTTTACAAACCCAGTATTACTTTAACCGGCTCGGGAATCAAACCCGAGACCCCTTGCCCAGCAGTCCACTTGCGACAACTCGGCCAACGAAGCAACTAAACCGTTTTAAGTTTAACTAGCCCTTAAGCTTAAACACAAAATAATTAAACTATACAATGTTCTAGCCTCAGATGACAATGGTGACGCTAAAACCAATATTAAAGCTCTTATAACTAAAGACCTGATTCCTCTGAGACTCAATACGTCGACACTCATACAAAATGTGTTGCATGTCCTCATTGACAAAACATATTATTATACTGTATTGTTAGATTGTTGTTCAAGGCCTCAAGGGGTTTCGAAATCGAAATAAATTCTTTTAAGTATTTCAAATTTTCTACATACGTACATAACCTCACGCCTCTCTCCCATGGGGGTTTGTATTGCTACGATTCTTACATACCCCTTCACATGACATTTTCTAATATAGATGCTGTTTTGTTTCTGTTATCTTGCATGGTATATGGCAATAGATTTGCCTGCAATAACATGGCTTCTAGCACCATTTGTAGATATTATACAAAATCAGTCATTTTTTTTATAAATACGCTTACCCAAGTTAATAAAGGTCTATAGTATATATATACATAAGTGGGGGAGAGCCATGCTTCGGCACTCGAGCACAGAAAACCGACGTGAAACAACAATTACGTTGTGTTTCGTCGCGTGACGAATGAGGTAACCGGAGGCCCAATTACGCACCCGCCTCCCCAATCTCTAAATCCCCAACAATCCTCAAAATCCTACTTCCCAAAAGGCCGGTAACACACTTGTATAACCTCTGGTGTTCCGAGTGTCCATGGGCGACGCTAATTGCTTTTACCATCAGGTGATCCGTCAGTTCGTTTACCGGCTTATACCATAAAAAAATGAATTTCGGCAAAGAAAAGTACTAATAAGGTTTTATATGGTCGCTAACTAATCACTGTTGTAAAATAAGACTATCACCAGAGTATAGACGACATGTCGCCCTTACACTAGCTTGTCACAACAGTGGTACATTTATTTTATTTATTTTTATTACAGAAAACTCAACAGCTTATTTAGTAAATGCTACATCTATAATAATGACAAGGCATGGAAACTTAAGCCAATAACAGAGTTTTTCAGCATGCGTTAGGTAAAAGTAGGAGAGTGAGCAATATAAAATAAAATTAAACAATCAAGGACATTTTTTTATAAAGCAATAATTAAGAAGAATAATAATGTTATGAGAGTCACGCACTAGTGAGTATTTGTATAAGCGACTTACGAAAGGATACCTTTGACAAATTAAATATATCCACACTCTCAAACTTCTCTGTGTAAATGCGAGGTAGTCAGTCTCTGTGTACATACGGCCACACATCAATCTATACAAAACCAGTATATCCTGGTGCCGCGTCGCATCATCTTTCCGCACATTTAACGTTCAGTTTATACTGGTTATGTAAAGCTCGATGTGTAGCCGTGTATACGAAGTCTAAACATAAATAAAATGAAAAAACTCCACAACTTACCTGACAGCGCACAGTATTAGCATCAAAAGGCACGAGTAAATAATCGCAGGCTTCCCTCAGCTCCTGCACGGAGACGGTGGGCGGGCATCTGATGCTGCCCAGCCGGTAGTACTCCAGGATGGCACGGAACACTGTCGCTGATATGCCCTCTGCTACTTCATACTCCCCTCGCTCGTTTGGATGGGTGAATTCTAGGCCTGGAACAAGATGGATGAAAATTAATTAAAAAATCAAAGCACTTATGTTCATCAGACATAACATCACGCCTTATTTTCCTAAAGGTAGGCAAAGATGAACATTACGACTCACTGCCACTGTACAATGTAACACCCACTTTTCACTATTTATGTCATGAGTCCCATGCACAGAAATATTAAAAATTATTATATTTGTGGTGTCCATATAATAGGGGGTGAGCCTATTGCCATATACCGGGCATAATTCCAGTCTCCGTGCTGCTGAGAATTTTTAAAAGCCGTCATCATTTGCACAACCCGGGAATCGAACCCGAGACCCCCTGCCCGGCATTAATCAAATTCAATATTTATATCATATCATAACATAACATAACATCACGCCTTTTATCCCGAAGGGGTAGGCAGAGGTGCACATTATACCACTGTACAATGTAACACCCACTTTTCACTATTTATGTTATGAGTCCCATGTAATAGGAGGTGAGCCTATTGCCATATAACGGGCACAATTCCAGACTCCGTGCTACTATTCTTATATTCTTATAATATTTATATCGAAACGTCAAAAACGATATTGTTCTATGAATTTTGTACCAAAAACTAACTTATGACGTCATTATATTTTCGAGTCAAATAGCACACTTATTTCTGAAAATATTGCTAGAATAAATCGAATTTAAGTATATCGTCAAATATATTTTTCAATATTTAATTGGATTGAAAAATCAAAATAATAAATTTTTAACCCAGGAATATACCCAATTGAAGCATGCTTTCGTGCTTGAGATTAGCATTGTGTGCAACAGTACCCTTAATACATAACATCAGAGGCGATAATATATATATATAATCTACTTTAGAATTATGATTTTTTTGAGGGGGATAATTATAGAATTGCTTCTCCCGCCTCGGTGAGGCGAGGAGTGTCAGATTCTTACTGACTAAAAACCACCCCGTTATTACTCCTGCACTTCCGAGCCGATGCCCTCGGCAACCCGTTAAGTCTTCTGCGGCTCCGTATCGGCATCAGCCTTATTGGGCCCAATACCCTATTAGGATAATCATCCCCAATTCCCAGCTCTTAGACAGCTATTAGAATTACCATAAACGAAATCAAAGACAAAAAACATCGCAAATCAAATTACACCTCATGTCGAATTTAAACCAAATTCAAGTCCAAAAATCGTTCAAAAGATCGTAAAGGTTCATTCCTTTCATTCGTTCGTCTGCACGACCGTCTGAACGAGTGAATGACCTGAGACTAGAGACACAGTGATGTTCGAGTAACGACTCGACGTCTGCCTAGCCCCCTAGAGGGTAAATGACCTGGGAGTAATTGGTTTATAAAAAATGGTAAATTACATTTTTTTATTAAAAATATTTTTATACTATTTTAATTTACATTATGGTGATGGTAGAGTAGAATACATTTGATACCATCCCACTAATCTACTACTAATCCCGCGGGTGTCGGAACTAGAGGTACACATTAGACAGAGACCGGGCAGCAGCGCTCTCTGATAAACCTGAACCTTTTACACTGCGATCTTCAACTGCCAAGCGCTTCACGCTTTATGGCGTGTGGCAAACCCTCTTATGCAGAGGCTTATAGTCCAGCCACAGTCCAGCTGTGAATATTGCTACGGCCTATTGATGAATGAATATGTACAATCCCTTAATCAGGTTTTACGATACCCGTAAAAAGGTTATGGGCAATCACAAACGTATTTTACTCAATTACTACTTATTACATACATCCGTACGTAACCAGCAGCTGTAGCCAAATGCCATTTAGCACTTGTCTACATGTAGAATAGAAAACCAAAATAAATGGATTTGACGTAAATATTGACACTTGTCAGTGTCATCCCCATTTTTACTAAGAGGAAAACGTCAGCCCTATTACATAACATAACATCACACCTTTTATTCCCGAAGGGGTAGGCAGAGGTGCACTTTATGGCACTGAATATAATGTCACTTTGATACCTCTAAAATTCACAGTATCAAAAAACTAACATGTATATTAAAAACCCCGATTGTCTTTCGACTTTTAACGACCAGAGGTTGGGGTTTAAATCTCAGGTCAGTCACCTATCGCCTAGACAGCTGGGCTAAGGGTTAACGACCATCTTGGATCGGCCGAATTTTCACACGTAACGTTGACAAGGGTAGAGGGTAAGAACGGAGTATCGTATTTCTATAGTAATATTTGTTTGTCTCAAAATACACACAAGCATTTTAAGACATAGACATATACAATTAAAATTTATAGACAAGACACATTTTTTACCAGAAGTGTCAAACGTGGGGGAACTTGCATTTTTGTAAGAGCAGGGCTGCAATTTGGAGAATTGACTCATATTGCAAAACAGTCGATCTCGGGTGTTTTCGAATGTTGCGGTATTGAACTGACATATTATAATATTGTTGTAATATGCATTTACAGAATTCCAAAAAATAATTTTAATGTATTTTATGAAAAATTGGACAATATATTGAGAAGACTTTGCGTATCTACAAATAAAAAAATTATATTAACCGGAGACTTTAATATTGATGTGTTAAAGAGAAATAAAATCACAACAGAATTTGAAAACTTTCTCTTGCAATACAATCTTAAATTAGAACTTGATAAACCAACCAGATTGGCTAGTAACTCTTGCTTGGATAATTTTGCACATTCTTACCGTAAAGGTTGTAAAGCTGAAATAATAGATTTACTTCTATCTGACCACACATCACAACTACTCCAAGTTCCGATTAAAAAAACCTGTATGATTAAATATTGGAAAATAACTAAACAGGAAATATCAGTAGATAATTTAATGAAATTTAGAAATCATCTAAAAAACCTAACTTTTCGACGAGTATACGAAGCTAAGGACGCAAATGAATCATATGAAAATTTTATAGATGACTTTATATTGTTATACAAATTGTGTTTCCCAGAAAAAATAGTAACCATTTATACTTGCAAAAAAACCAAATGGATTTCGAAGGGGATAAAAATATGTAGCAGAAAACAGAGGCAGCTACTTTGGACATATAGGCATAATCCGAACACAAAAAATAGACTTGCTTTTAAAAAGTATTCCAAGCTTTATAGAAGAATAGTAAATTTAACCCAGAAGGCCCAAAACAACCACTTCATAAATACGTCTCAAAATAAGTCAAAAGCTGCTTGGCAAGTTATTAACAAATCTAAAGTATGTCTGCCGCAAGAACCAATATTGACCATACAAAATGATAAATCAACTCTTACACATCCCCTTGACATTGCGAATGAATTCAATAAATATTTTATAGAGATTATAGAAAATAATTCAAAAACAAACCCATTAACAAATTCGTGTAGAAATGTTAATATTGAAAACTCAACTTCGCAGTCTCTATTTATGCTACCAGTTTCAGATACTGACATTATAAAAGTGATAAGTAGCTTAAAAAATACTAGTACAGTAGGATACGACGGTATTTCAACTAAAGTAATAAAAGATGTTAAGGAGGTTATATCGAAACCGTTATCGCACATAATTAATCTTTGCATTTCCGATGGTATATTCCCTACTAGTCTCAAGAAAGTAGTTATTAAACCCATTTACAAAAATAATGACAAGACTGATGTTAAAAATTACAGGCCTATTGCAAAAATACCAGTTTTTGCAAAAGTTATTGAAAAAATAATATATAATTCCATTTACACGTATTTAGAGAAGTTTCAGTTACTATGCAATGAACAAAAAGGATTTAGGAAAAATACTAATATTAATATGGCACTATTTGACCTGCTATCAAGTATTATAACTTCTGTGGATAAAAGAAATCCGGTGTGTTCGATCTTCACGGATATGTCAAAAGCTTTTGACTTCGTAGATCATCAGATCTTGCTGCAAAAGTTACACGCATACGGCATTAGAGGAAACATTCATAAACTCCTAGAATCATACCTAAGTGATAGAACACAATGTACTGAGATTTCCAGAATTTGTCCTATAAGCAAATTAGAAACTACATATGTCTCTGAAGCGAGATCCGTGAGGTATGGTGTGCCTCAAGGTACTGTACTCGGGCCCCCACTTTTCTTAATCTATATCAATGACCTCCCAAGAAATTTGAAAAACAAAATGGTACTTTTTGCAGATGACAGTACGGCTATCATAGAATGCACTGATCCAAACGAATATCGAAATGAGATCAATAACTCGCTAAATAGCATCATTAATTGGCTAAATAATAATAATCTTGTGATCAATTTGAATAAAACTAAAATTATACAGTTTCATCAACGACGTGAGAATCCACCCCTTAATATTACCTATGATGAGTGTAAAATAGAAGAGGTTACGAGTGCAAAATTCTTGGGTATAACAGTAGACCATAAGTTGACTTGGAAACCTCACCTGGAAATGGTTTGTAAGCGACTGAGTAAATCTGCGTATCTATTGTTTCAATTATCTAAGAGAGTTAATTCTGAGACACTGTTAACAGCCTATCATGGACTTGTAGTCTCTATTCTCCGTTATGGTGTTGTTTTCTGGGGGCAATCAACAAATAGAGAACTAGTATTTAGGATGCAAAAAAGGTGTGTAAGATCCATGTGTAATTTAAAGTCAACAGATAGTTGCGTTCCCTACTTCAAGAAATTAAAAATATTAACGTTACCAGCTATATATATATTAGAAACTGCACTATTTGTAAAATCAAATCCACATTTATTTACAAAGTTTTCAACAGTTAAGAAGACCCCCATTCGGAGTCAATATGAAAATCAACTATGTACGTTGAAATGTAATACTGCGTTAATGAAAAAGAGCTTTTTTGGTGTAGCACCAAAAATTTTTAATAAAATACCCGATGCTATAAAATGTATGCCATTAAAGAAATTCAAAAAGTGTCTTCACAAGTTATTAGTTGAGAAATGTTATTATGCCTTGGATGACTATTTTAATGATAATACTATTTGATTATATTCTGTAATTTTATAAATTATTATTATT